CCGCCGGCGCCCCGCGCTGCCCGCTCGCTGCGTGCGGCGAGCCCAGCCGCGCTCCGCGCTCTGGAAAGTGCCGGCGGTGCCGCCGCGCCTCCGCCCGCACAGGCTCCGCCGCTCCGCACCCGCGGCCGACAGGATCGGCTCCTGCCTCTTCTCCCGCCCGCCYGCCGCGATGTCCGCGCTCCTCCTGGCCCTGGCGACGCTCTGGGGATTACCGTCCGTCGCCGAGGCGCTGACAGCTGCAGCCCGCGGAGGTAAGGCGCGTTTCGGGGATGGGTGCGGAGCCGCGGAACTTGCCGCCGCTTCTGCTCGGGAAGTTTTGCTCCCTTGCGCCTTGCGCGGACGGGCGCGGCCGCGGAGCGCTCCCCTGACCGCGCTCCCCTGACCGCGCTCCCATCCCCGCGCTCCCGCACGCCTGGGATGCGGGTGCGCCGCGCTGGGTTGCGGGCGAGCCTTCGGCGGCGGCAAATACACGGGAACGAGGAGCGGGATGATGTCCCCGGTGATCCCGATGGTCCCACCGGGTGCGACCCGCGGGGTGCGATCCGCCGCCGGCGGGGGTACAGCCGCTKCTGCCGGCGACTCCCCGGTCCCGGCCGGGGCTCCCCGAGGCTGCCCGGGGGCTGGCGGCGATGTGCCGCAGGCACGGCGAGCGCCCTCCGCTTCCCGCAGCCTTCCAAAAGTTCCCTTCTCAATGACCCCGAGTTGCCGATCGCTCAGTGCCTGAACTTGGATTTGGGCACGGGGGCTCGGGGTCCCGCAGCCGCGGGGTGGGCGATCGCACAACTTCCAACTCTGTTCCCTTGCTCAGAGAAGTCCCTGATCCGAGAGCGTGGCGATTCCCCCGCCGGAGCGGGGCTCGGGGTTTCGTGTCGCTTTTTGTACAGTCACCAGACACCTCTCATTTTCCTGGGAGATGTTTGAATTGGGTATTTTCTAAGTATAGCGTAAGTCCGCCTTCTGTGTGGCTCAGGTGCGGCAATAGCGGTGCGCTGCTCTGACTCAGGTTTTCTTACCGCTGTAGAAAACSCTGCTCACCAGAAAATTGTCTGTCGGTTTCTTGTAGCCCTTCGGCTTCCAAACTGCGCGGTCTCATGAATGAGATGCCCTGGGTAGTGGTGGTGTACGCGGGCTGCGARGGTTTCGTTAGATTTCAGTAGAAATGTTACTCTGTAAAGCCTTGAATTCTCACTGTTAGCCACCCAGCTCCTCTCCATCACGTTCACATTACCTACTAAATTGTTTACTAACTGCTTACAACTCGTTTGGGTGAGTGCAGATGCCTCTGCACAGTCGGTCTGGGGTATAGATTTCTGCYTCAGTCGAACTACCAGACCTCTTCCGTCCCTTTCCCACATAGCTATCCGAATTACATAGGTGATTCATGCTGCGAAAATAAGAAATAACTACCTATCAACGAGAAAAGTGTTGCTACAGCATCACAAATTTGCATGTTTAAAGCCCTGCATCACAAGGTGCAGGGATATTGCATGGAAATGAAGATAGTATTACAAAGAATGGCACTTGAACAGCCAGAGAGGAAAGGTTCTTAGGAAATCTTTTCAGTTTTATGAAGGGTACATATGCTTTTGCTTTGGTTCACAAAGATTCGTGGTCTTGCTAGTGCTTGCTTGATGGAAAATATTTCAAGAACTTTCCATCGTATTCACAGAATGGTCAGATTAGATTTCAGCAGCTGTAGCTTGCATCTGATCTTATGAATAAAAATCAAACTTCCAAACATTTTGTGGAATTGTTCTGGAAACTGATTTGTTGCTCTGTATTCCCTCATAGCAGTAWGCAAGTGCAAATTATGCATGAATATTAATTTCTGGTGTTTAAATTTTGCTTAATTTTACCTTTGGTTTTTTTTTTTTTTTT